TGATTTACAATGTTATGTGATAAAAATAGGATATTTTTCCTTGGCTGGAAATGGATATTATTCCCCCATATTCAATTCTGGTTTGATTTATTCATTGATTTTCATATTGTGAAATTTATTTTTCATGAAACGATAATCAACTCGCGAGGGTTATTTACGCTTTTCATACTTTTGCTTTTTTACACAACGACAAATGTAAATGAACGTTTGTTTTAACTGCTCAAAAATTAGATTTCCGGAGATTTTTACTTTTTTTGTAATATTTTCCTCTCGGCTTTCTAAATTTGTATTTTTTTTATAATAAAAGAAGACGGACATTATAAATGAATTGTTTAACATCTACACTGTTTCTGAAACCAAAAAGTATTTCGTTCTTTATATTTGTATTGTATTAATAAGTATTTACTCTCTCCATATATATCTTTCATTCATACAAACAGACCCTCGCCTCAGTACAGAGGATGTCGTCACTCGCGTTGAACAGACATTATAAATGGTTCAGTTTGTTTCCGTCTGCAATTTTACCAGACCTGCCAATATACGACACATGACTGACCCACACAGTTAACACCACAAAGTTGCGTTTAATCTTAACTTTGGTCTATAAGCCGTGATTGTGAACAGAGTTGAATTGCACCAAAATCCTCTTAATCGTTTCGCTTTAAAGAAATTTATGTGGATAATTTTCAGTTTTATTTTTAATATTATGAAAAGCTGAACATTATAATTGTTTTCACATAATTGTATTAGTCTTTATAACTCAAATATCAATACAGAATGGAGAGATTATGTAATTTAAAATATGAGATGAATTTACGAAGCTGTAATGTAGCGAATCAGTACTGTAGTCGCTCTTAAATGATTACACAAGACAACTCAGAAACGATATCCAGACTTCTCTGTGTTAACTTATTTATGATAGTAACAAATACATTTAAATACATGTAGAGTAAAGGAACAAAGATCAAATCAAGAACACCCTGTAGAAGACAAATAAACCCAAAAGTAATTTCCATTAAAATTAAACGTTATGTAACCAGACACTTCCCACACCATTCTGGGACACCCTGTACTGCACTGTGCCGCCACCCAACAGTCTCCGGGTGTTGTGTAAACATCAGCCGGCAACAGTCATATAAGGGTCACACGGGGCGACTGTTTGTATATAGTTTGTTTGTCACTATAGCAGTATTTATTTCTGTTTGTGTTAGAATCTTAATGCATCAGTTTTGGTGTGTGTGTGTGTGTGTGTGTGTGTACCTTGGTTGATGTCCTTACGAGTGTGTCCCGTGTCCTAACCCCCTGCACCTTGATTAGAAACCCTTTTGGACCAGTGCTTTTGATATTAGTCTTCATTATTGTTTGTAAATCAGGTAAACTTCTATTCCACCCTTAATTAATATGTGTTTTTGTGGCATTTGTTTCATATTTCGGAGAACAAGTAGGAACTAAATTATTTATTGGGCAGAAATTATACCAGAAATAATAAAAATATACTGATAATTTTCAAATTGTAAATAATTCAGATTTGTTAGAAATTTCCACATTCCTTCGTCATCTTTAATAAGCAAGTCGAACAAAATACCTACATATATTTTTTTTTGTGGCCAGGTAAGGCTATAACAATAAGAGCAGCCTCACCTGTGATTGTTACAGTGTCGTCAAGTTGACAGTAACATAACGTGCTAGGACTGACTCACGACCCCAGCCTGCCTAGTAATGACGGGATTCACCTTTCCACCAATGACCCTTAATGAGCACGTTATTTGTAAATCTACAGTCCAGTAAGGTGATTAATATTGATGTATAGAATCTGTAATGATAGCACACCTAGGACGAGTGTACGGCGTAACTCAGCCCTAATGTTTTCTCGTCGCTGATGGATCGTGTATACATCACTATCATATCTATAAAAGAGCTTTGGCGATAGCTGATTAAATTAATATGCTCTTGGTATACGATCCAGAACACAAGGATAAAATAATTTACAAGGCAGCGTTATCGTGATTGTCGCACAAGACTGGAGGTCCCGGTGTGTGTGTGTGTGTGTGTGTGTGTGTGTGTGTGTGTGTGTGTGTGTGTGTGTGTGTGTGTGTGTGTGTTGTAATCTTGAAATTTCAGCATCCTGGCGTTTATGGTAAAAAAGGAACAGTGGAGCGAGAGGGAGAAAAGGTTCTCAGCTTCTCTCCCTACCTCGGCTCATCCACTATATGTCTGTGTGTATGTGTGACTCAGTATGGGTGTATATGTGAGTGTGTGCGCGCACACAGGGTGGTGTAATGCGTCTAGTGTGGCAGCATTATGTTAGTGTTAAAGTGCAAGCTGGCTAGCCCTCGTGGCGAACAGGGAAGCAACTTGCATAAGTCTTCCCCTGCCGGTACACAGCCTCTTCACCATCAAGACTCCTACTGTGCCTCCTCGTGGCAACACATGGTAACTGGGTTCCTCGTGGGCCCAGGCTAGACCAGCAGGAGATCTCAGAGTAGCAGTGGGCCCCAGAGAGACGGCGCATAGGCCCATTGGCATATGGACACGTCCTGGCGCCTACCTGGAGACGGGGACAGGCACAGATGACTGCCGGGAGTCTCTTGTCACAACTCTGCACATGGGCGGCACAGACAAGATGGTCGTTTATGCACTGGGATCTAGGCAGCAGTGCAATCCAGTCCTGTCTGTGCGACTGAGCAGCCATTTCGAGGAGCCACTCTCCTCACCCCACATGGGGAGGGGACTAGAAAAGGTGCCTTAAACATAGCCTGCCTAAAGAACCAACTTGACTGGACAACCGCACCCAGTAAGGTTATCCTTATGCGGTCGAAACACAATTATAATCACAGATCAAAACAAAAACAAACACTACAACCTCTTATGGTCGCTGCATAGAATGTCAGGACCCTTCTGGATACTGGCACAAATGAGCGTCCTGAAAGAAGAACCGCCCTTGTGGCAAAAGTCCTGGCTAGGTAAAACATCGAGATAGCAGCTATTGGTGAGTCCCGGCTTCCAGACGAGGGTCGACTCACAAAACGGGGGTCTGGCCGATCTAGCCTTAAAAAGCAAGTGAAGTTTTTACCGAACTGGGAAAACTTTTTGTTTTTATTGCTATAACTTGATGTAAATTAATTTGTACATGATAAAATTTGATCTTTTTCATGTGAGTCGTGGATTACCATCATAATATTCCAAAATGATAACTAACGAAAGTTAGGTAAGGTTAGATTAGGTTAGGTTAGGTTTTGTATGAACCCTTTTATTTAAATGAATTTTTATGACCTACACGAACGTTTATGGCCAGTCAGAAGTTTCCAAAAAGGATAAATACATAGGAGTTATCGCTAATCGGCAATTATCCTTATTTACCTATTTGGCATTATATATATATATATATATATATATATGCAAGTAAATCATTGTAGGTGCGTGTGATCCAGGTATATGTTGATAACCACAAGGAAACAAGAAAACATATATATTGTAAAATACTATATACTGTACATATTCCCTATTGACAGTGAAAATTTATGCGAAATTTTCTCCTACGAGTAATAAGACAGACAAGCTAAGCTTGCTTAATATGCAAGAATAAATATTATAAATATTACAATAGTTACCCGAAAACCACGATAAATCCTCCTGAAGAAAACTAAAAATATATCAAATATTGTGAACGTAACTAAAATCATGATAAAAGAACAACAGTCAAAGTCTAAAAGTTAAAAATCTGATAAAAATAAATAATTCAAGTAAACAAAAAATAGCAAAGCACAAAGCAAATTGGTCTTAAGCTCTAAATCATTAAAATGTTACGAACATGGATTCAACAAAACTAGACTAATGTAACGAGTGAAAACCTGTGACAAAGGCTTTTCAAGTATAAATGAAAAATGATGAACTGACACAGAAAATAAGCTAAGAAAAAAATTTAAACTTGAAAAAATGAAATCTCACAAAATATGGCTGAATTCGCTGGTAGAGCCGTTGATTGTTGTGTAACAATGAATAGCTGTGATTGAATTGCTCAAGAGAGAGTTCATAGTTGAGATATCAAGTGTCATACCAATAATGACAGTGAGGTTCAGCCAGCAAGGAATGGAGGTCAGAGCCCGGATGCTCAAAAGTATTTACAATATTGCATCTCCCAATTAACTCTGTAAATCGACTCTCAAGGCTGTAAGTCCTCTTTGTAGCGATGCTCAAAACAAAATACCCGCCATCTGGAGGCCGTAACTTACAAGACCTTCGTAGTTCCTGTAACGGTATATTGACCCGGACATAGCGTGTGTTTCCAGGTTGAGTAAACAGTATATGCCTTCCGAGATATGATAAACTTCATTAAATCTATTATATCAGAGATTATTGCCGAATACAAGTTTCATGTGTTATTTCAATGGTAAATAATATTAAAAGATAACATAATCAGTTACAAGTGATCTTATAAGCAGAAGCTGTGTTTGCTTATGTTTTAGCAGGCGTATAATTCGTTTTAAGTGAGAAGAGTTATCAGTGTTTATGAACCTTGAGAAGACCTATAAACTTCACCATGACTTGGATCGCACCTTGCCCTCCCTTTTGTATGGGGGGGGGGGGGTCAAGTGTACGAGAAGATGATAGACAGTTCTACCAAATTTCTTTTGTTTATGTTTCTTTCTTCACCTTTCCTTCTATCTCTGCCTCTATATATTCGTTATCTCTTTCTGCTGTAAAAATAACAAATATATTTAATCTGGCAAATTTGTTGCTTTGTCAAAAAAATACTAATAATTTTTCGAACACAATAAGCCAGAACAATGAGACAATACTGAACCTCGAAATATAGCTGACGTCCCCAAGTTTAAAGTAAATGTATGACTATTGTTTTGGCATTGCTCTGTTATTGATATTTATTCGTCCCTTCAGTTGTTAATATGAAACTAGTCATTTAACGCTTGCATCCCTGAAATGTAAATAAAAAGAATACTTCATATAATTCCTGCAAGTTTTCTTCTTTTTTTTCACAACAGTGGAAAGAAATCCTCAGCCAGCGTCCAGTAAATTACGGACCAGAGAGCTACAAAACTACATGTAGAAACCTATGGGGGACAAGGGCGTCACCCTCAGCTAGACTAACACACCAGCATGATCCAGCCAGTACCAGGGACACGAACTTAACATATCAAGTAGCGGAAGGATTCACAAAGTACCACAGAGAGATCGTCATATTTCTATTAGTGACGGAGGTGTATCACTAGACTGGGGACCCCCCCAATAAAAAAAGCTCCAGCAGTTGTGAAGGTGTGAGAGTAAAGAAGACATCTGTGGGCATCACTAAGAAGTTTTTCTACTACGGAAGGCAACAGTATCTTTGTGGCGACGTCTGACCCGCTGCAGGTGATGGTGAGACGCTGCTGACCAACTATGGGCCTCAGAAGGTGAGTACAATGATAAAACAAAAGTTGAACAAGAACCTTTTATCTCTTAGAACTTTTGTAGTGCGAATTATTTTAGAATATTTTTGGTATAATAGTTTTAATATAGTTCGGATGCTTCGAGTTTTGTTTTGCTTTCTGAGAGCTAGTAACAGAAAGCAGCCACTCATAAGGTAATGTAAATAATTTCCTGAAAGAGCGGTGGCGTAAGTGGAAGGAGAAGGAGGAAGACCAGTGAGTGTAACATGAGGTGAGACGGAAAGCTGAAAGAGAATGACAGACGGAGAGGTTCTTGACAGTCAGGTGCTAGGAGACTGGGTGAGAGATGCAGCAATAGTTAGTGATGTACCACAACCAACGAGATGCATTTTTTGCTTATTCTTTTTTAATCTCAAACTTTTCCCCTGTCACTGTGCTTCACACCACACAGGGGGAGATTTATTTCTGGTCTAATACAAGAGAGAAGACACTCTGGTTTTAAAACGTCAGGTGGTGAGGGGAAGTGATGTTGTGCCTCGTGAAAGGTAATCTGTATAATAAAAGAATTTAGAGAGGGTTGGAGAATTAGTTTTACATACGAGATCACCTGGTGGAGGAAGGGGAGGGGGAGAGCGTGTGTTTTGGTAGTCAAATGTGGAAATATATCCCACGTTCTCTCCTTTTTATGATATTCTGCGCCAGCTGCTTCAGAGCAACATTTCTGTAAGAGATTTGCAACTAAATGTATTCAGGGAGCCTTGCAGAGGAGAGGGGGGGGGGGTATAGTGTTACACCGGTACGGCGATCATTTGTGTTTTGATGACTCGGGTTTGTGTGAGCAACAACGATTTTTTTCTTTTGATTGGGTGTTCCAATCTTTATGTAAGACAAACCATTATTCATATCGCTTGATTTTTTAAACTTTAATCGTGAATTAGTAACTATATTATCTATAAAGTAATTTGATATAGTTTGCGCGGTAATGAAAATATATATTGTATACGCAGACTGAAGCTTTAAGGCAGTGTGCATGCATGGAGTATTTCTACTTGCTATTTCACTATTTCCCAACCTCTTTCACCACTTCTTGCACATGCCCCTCTTCCCTACTATTCGCCACCATTTATTCTGAAGTATCTTTCCCCTGATTCACCACACACACACACACAGGCCCGCGAGGGAAGGAGAGAAATAGTTGCAGAATTTTCACCTGGACTTGTGTGTACGAGAGAATTTGAAAGTTTCTTTAAAAAAAGTGGTTACCTGCGCTTTAATTAAGGTCTTAAAGCTCGTAATCAAAACTTATATATACTCTAGTCGTCAACATTTAAAACTCATAGATTTACAGCTATATTTGATGATATAGTGCATTACTGAAACTCAATAACCGAGGTCTTTGAACTCTTTCCCGTCAAAGTCCGCGTCAATAAAAACTATGTAAATAAATAACGAAGAAAATATATAGCACTTCACACACACATGATGAAAATGATTATGAGAACCATTATTTCATTAACTAAATAATAATTCGAAATGAAGCCAACTGTGGTCTGACCTGCTGAAACTTAGTAATACATATCTTCACCTCTCAGGCATTAGTCTTAATATACGTGCTCATTAGATTTATTGCCGAGTTTAATTGGTTCTTTCTCATATTTTGTTTCTATTGGTAATGTACTAGTGTAATTACTAACCTCGTAACGCGCTAAAAGACCATAGTAGTAGTTGAAGTTTGGTAATACATTATAACATCAATAAAAACAGGTAATAAGAAGTGCTGCTTACCTTGCTGTTTGGGGGAAGTCAAGTAGATAATTATGTCCACTTGTTACACTGACGGACGCTTGTGACTTAATGCCAGGTGTCCGGGGGAGTGGAGGTATAGGTGTCAGGGAGGAGGTCACAGCTGTTCAAGAGAAGAAATAGAATTGATTAGTTAAACAATTCATTGTATTATTTTATGTAATCACTTAATTTACTTTCCCCTTGTATATCTAAGTGCGTTATGTTGACACTTTTAGTCACTTAACTAAACAACCGAGTGCATTTCCTCGGCTTGATATTGCAGGAATACATTATACCCCCTGACACTTAAGATTCATTTAAATATATAATTACAATTGTGTGTATTTGCTTTTATTTGTGTATGCGTTAATTTTTATCGTTGTTTTTTTGTTTGTGTTTACTTAGATATTGTTTGATGTATTTGTATGTTGATTCTGCTAGTGTTTGTTTGCTGACTGTCATTTAGTTTTTTTTTTTGTAAGTATCATTGTTTTGTGTTTGCTTTATAACTGATATTGTTTGTTTTTCTTGTCTGTGTTTGAGTGCCATTATTTTCGTCTTTTGTTATTTTTATTGCCATTAATTGTTTGTTGTTGTTTATGTTGGCTTATTTTTGTTTCCTTTGATTGTGTTCGTTTACTCCATCATTGTTTATTTGTTTTTGTTTCTTGATTGTTACTTTGTTTATATGAAAGGTTGTCTCTCTTGGCTCTCCTTGTATGGCTTGGTCCCTGTGAGCGAAGTTATTGACTGTCAGCGGTTGTGTTCGCTGTCGGTCGCTGTTGCCCTATTGTTTGCATGATTGTTTGCTGACTTATATTTACACGACTGTTTGCTGACGCTGTTAATATATGTTCGTATGATTCTGTATGCTGACGTGTAATTGCATGACTGTTTGCTGACACTGCTGATATATGTTTGACTGTTTGTTTACTTGTACTGTATTTGACTGTTTGTTTACCTGAAGACTGTGTTTAAGACTGTGTTTGTTGTTTTACTTGCAGAGTGTCGCCGGTCATGAGGGTCGGTGGGTGGGGATGGTTTAGACTGGACGCTCGCCATGCCGCCCTATCAGCCGCCATCTACACCATGGTGAGTAAACACCCTGGTCAATGGTCATACACCCATACACCGTGGTGGTACTCATACAGGAACTGGATAGATGTCATTCAGGCGTTTCTCTACAATAGTCTACAAGTCAGGTTACTACAGTGAACGCTTGTAGTACGATACTTGTGGTTGACAGAAAGATGTATTTTTTTTCCAACAGTACTTCCCTGAATGACCTTTGCCCTAAGACTATACACATATTACGTTCAGTAAACAAAGAATTTACAAAGAATTTATACGTACGTTCAAGAATGTATTTACTAGCTATACACATAATGATGCGGGTACTGAGGCGGTGGTGGTGGCAGGGTTGGTATGGTTGGTGGTAGTGATGGTGATCCAAGAGTGGTGCAGTTGGTGGTGGTGGTAGTGATGGCCGGGCGGGTGGTGGTGATGGCAGTGGTGGTGGTGATGGCAGGGGTGGTGGTAGTGGTGATGGCAGGGGTGATGGTAGTGATGGCAGGGGGTGGTGGTGGTGATGGCAGGAGTGGTGGTGATGGGGGAGGTGGTAGTGGTGATGGCAGTGGTGCTGGCAGGGTGGTGGTGGTGTGGTAGTGGTGATGGCAGGGGTGGTGGTGGTGATGGTAGGGGTGGTGGTAGTGATGGCACGGGTGGTGGTGGTAGTGGTGATGGCAGTGGTGCTGGCAGTGGTGGTGGTGTAGTGGTGATGGCAGGTGGTGGTGGTGATGGTAGGGTGGTGGTGTGATGGCACGGGTGGTGGTGGTAGTGGTGATGGCAGTGGTGTTGGCAGTGGTGCTGGCAGTGGTGCTGGCAGGGGTGGTGGTAGTGATGGCACGGGTGGTGGTGGTAGTGGTGATGGCAGTGGTGCTGGCAGGGGTGGTGGTGGTGGTGGTGATGGCAGGGGTGGTGGTGGTGATGGTAGGGGTGGGTGGTGGTGATGGTAGGGGTGGTGGTAGTGATGGCACGGGTGGTGGTGGTAGTGGTGATGGCAGTGGTGCTGGCAGTGGTGCTGGCAGGGGTGGTGGTAGTGGTGATGGCAGGGGTGGTGGTAGGGTGGGATGGCAGGGGTGGTGGTAGTGATGGCAGGGGTGGTGGTGGTGGTAGTGGTGCTGGCAGTGGTGCTGGCAGGGGTGGTGGTAGTGGTGATGGCAGTGGTGGTGGTGGTGGTGTAGTCTAGTTAATATAAACTTAGGTCGCTATTGTTGCGTGAGTCAGCGTCGCCCGAGCTGAGGATCAAGTCACCCGGGTTTGGTGTCACAACAACAATTATTCTGGATTTGAGGTCTTTTGTTCCTATACAGACTTGCTGGGGGGGTGACACAGTGTAAACAGCAACGGTGTGTTATACTGTGTGGTGCAGGTGTTGTTGTTGTGGTTCAAGGATATAACGTATATGTAATTTATAATCCTAAAAAGTTTAATTTCTTCTCCCTCAAGTAATAATTGTGGTGAACGATATTTTTGTCAACTTTTGAAAACATGTTAAGTGATGTCACATTAGAATGAACTTATTTTAACCCATCGTCTTTATCTATATGTGTACACTGATATTATGTACTTATCTAATAGTTTATACATGCTCTCTCTCTCTCTCTCTCTCTCTACACGTCAAATTTACTCCCTCTCTCCCCAGAGCACGTCAGTCCCCCCTGTAAGTCTATTACATCACCAGCACCGTGTCAGGGAATATGTCTTATAAATTATCCAACATCGAGTAGGAATGCCTGATAAACTTGAACTGAATCGTCATGTAAAAGAATTCCAAAATCCTATTATCGTTTTAGTTATTGAACAAGACCTACACACTGAGTATTATAATTTACAGTAAGTATATTATTACAAATGGAAACATTACCATGTGTATAATTTCACTTATTATTATGCTACTTGATTAATAAAGGGCGGACATACTTCCCTACACCCGAGAGCCGTGCTTGATGAGACGAGCGGACAGCCACTGGGCAGATTCACAAACACCATGCAACTTAATGCATTTTAAATTTACAAGACATGCCACGCCAGGCCTGATTATAGACAGCTTTCTACTACAACAAATACCAGAGACGTGAACTAGATAGATAGATAGATAGATAGATAGATAGATAGATAGATAGATAGATAGATAGATAGATAGACAGACAGACAGACAGACAGAGAGACAGATAGACAATATAATCATTGTTTCGGCCTATATAATGTACAGTTCAGCAAGCATATACTGTAGACAAATAAGATAACACAGGTACACAATGTAGCACTCGTTCCCTAAAGGTTATCTTTACGATTTTGTGTGAGACAATATGACACAACAGACGAAGGATTCTGACAACATTACCGAGACAACAAGAGTCGCAGTGTTCATTTTGAAATTCATCGAACACTACCGTAGCGATACTTTTTGGGGGGCTGACACAACCCACTCTTGCTTTTGTGCTGGTGGGTCGATAGCTTCCCTCTCCTGTGTATGCTGAACGAGGAAGACGAAAGACAAACACTCCATGCCCCTGCCTCCCTCCCTCTCGCCCACTCCCTCCCTCCCCCACTCTCTCCCTCTCCCCCACTCCCTCCCTCCCCCACTCCCTCCTTCGCAAGCACAAACAAACTCGACCAAAGCTAACGAAGAGAAGCTAACGCAATAATTCTGGATGGAACTTCCGGTCCTCTTGCAACACTGGTGAATGGTGTGTGGAAAAGATTTTTTGGAGAATTTGCTTTGTTTTGTTGGAAACCGTGAAAATTTGCCTCTCCCCAGCTATACTTACCTGAAGATTAACCACCCTAATGCTACCTGGGGTTAGAGGTTAGGTTAGGTTAGTTTTAGTTTGTTAGTGTTTGTTTAGGTTACGTTAGGTAAGGCTGAGTGAGTGAGTGACTGACTGACTGACTGACTGACTGACTGACTGACTGACTGACTAACTGATTGACTGACTGACTGATTGGCCGACTGACTGACTGAGTGACTGACTGGATCGACTGACTGACTGACTGACTAACTGACTGACTGAGTGACTGTTTAACTGGATCGACTAACTGACTGAATGAATGACCTCACAACAGATATAATCAACTGGTAGCATTAGGTATAACAGGTGGATCTTAATATAGGTTCTTAGCCACTGTTGTGTCCATTAATACATGTTAGCTTCAGGTGTTCTCAGTAATTAGTTCAATATCACCTGTTGGCTTCACCTGTTGTATCAGTAATTAGCTCATCACCACCTGTTACCTTAACCTGTTGTGCCAGAAATTAGCCAAATACTACCTGTTGTTACCATCTACTAATTACAGGTCGCCATATATGAAATAAAATCGATTCGCCGTTTCACACACACACACAAAAAAAACATTTTAATACTGATACACAGAGGAGGATGACAAGACTAATCCCGGGCATTAGGAACCTTGAGAACAGAGACAGGTTAAAGCATCTTAATTTGCACTCCCTAGAGAGACGTAGAGTGAGGGGCGATATGATAGAGGTGTATAAATGGAAGTCAGGGATAAGCAAAGGTGATATAACAAAGGCACTTAAACTATCCACCCAGGAGTGAACTCGTAGCAATGGTTTTAAATTAGGAGCGAGATAGGTAAACACTGGTTTGGAAATAAGAGTAGTGGACGAGTGGAACAAGTTACAGAACATCATTAACTCCAACACGCTGGGTAGCTTCAAATATAGCTTGGATGGATATATAAGCGATAGGGGTTGGGTGTAAACGGGGCTACCTAGTACTGATCGATAGGTCCCCTGCAGTTCCCTCCATTCTTAATGTTCTTATCTTTCTACCTTACCTATCATGTAATACCTCCATTGCTGTACCACCAGTGACTCGGTACAGTTCTTGCACCCTCCTCCTACCCCTCTTTTTCTCTTTCTGCTCTTACTGATGCTGTTGCTCCCCCCCCCTCCTCTTCTTCTTCATCCACCTTCTCATCCTCTTCACCGCTTCCTCCTCCTAACTTTCCTCTTCCTAGCCCTCCTCCTGCTCCCCTCCCCTCCTCTTCTTCATCCACCTTCTCATCTTCACCGCTTCCTCTTCCTAACTTTCTTGTTCTTAGCCCTCCTCCTGCTCACCACTCCCCCTCCTCTTCTTCTTCATCCACCTTCTCATCCTCTTCACCGCTTCCTCCTCCTGCTCACCACTACCCCTCCTCTTCTTCTTCATCCACCTTCTCATCCTCTTCACCGCTTCCTCCTCCTAACTTTCCTCTTCCTAGCCCTCCTCCTGCTCACCACTCCCCCTCCTCACAAGGTATATAATATTACAGTGTTCATCGGTGCTGGTGACCCTGATGTACGGCTGGAGGCTGGTGATGAACGGACGGCATCCTCACTACCTCCAGGATGTCTACTATGGTAAGTCGTGTATTGACATGTGACAAATATGTGATCTCCTGAAAATTAGGAATACTGTCATACATGTTTATTTCACCTGATGATTAAACACCTTAATACTTATGTAACCAAAACTAATCTAACCTAATCTAACCTAACCTAACACTTACGTAACCAAATATAATCTAACGTAACCTAGCCAAAACTAACATTACGTACCTTAACATAACCAAATGTAACCTATCTAACCTAATCTAACCTTCCATAATGTAACCTAACATAACCAAATCTAACCTAACCTACCCCAACATAACATAACCTAACCTAACCTAATCTAATCTAACCTAACCCCATTTAACGCTTAATAGGGGGTTTAATCATCAAAGGGGTATCTAATCTTCGTGAGAACCAAAATACTGTATATACTAACAGATGTCGTGCAGATGTATACTAAACACCTGTAAATATTCCCTTCACTAACGACACATGTGATACAGGTGTGCAAATCTCCTACACGTCAACAGTGTGTACACATGTGACTCTCATCGTCCTTAGTAGCTTCTTGGTCATCGGGATATATAAGGTCAGTAGTACAGTAGTCTTAATTGTCGTTGTAGTGGTTGTAGTAGTACTAGCAGTGACAACAGTAGTAGTAGTAGTAGTAGTAATAGTCTTAATTGTCGTTGTAGTGGTTGTAGTAGTACTAGCAGTGACAACAGTAGTAGTAGTAGTAGTAATAGTCTTGATTGTCGTTGTAATGATTGTAGTAGTACTAGCAGTGACAACAGTAGTAGTAGTAGTGGCGACAGTAGTAATGGGAATAGTAATGGCTGACATGATATAGTTGTAGTTTAAGTAATAGTGGTGTTGACTGCAGTACTAGCTCTCGATGCTGCACATAGGCGGAATGAGAACGACAAGAGAAGGGCATATGGGGAGAGAATTCAAAACGTTGATCAAGGCAGCTTCACTCCTCTAGTGGGATGGGACCAAGTGCAAGATGTTTCTACGCCAGACTCGCGGAGGTGATCTCCGAACAGAAGCAGCAGCCCAGAAATTATGTTACAGCCTGGATGAGATGTCGACTGTCTTTCTCTCTCCTTCGGTCGGCTTTGCTCTGCCTCAGGGGAACGAGAGCTTCTGCCCCTACAACGACAACAGCTGCAGATATCGACTATGAGGCTACAGTCACTGAATGCCGCATAGATCTGCGGCTCAACTAATTTAACACAGATAGGATAGGTTCTTATGTATTAGGATATTTAATATTAAGGTAATTAAATGGTGGCGAAGGTGTGGCTATTGGGGGAGGCTGGAGACCACGTTTAGAAAAAAAAACTAGTATTGACTAGTAGTAGTAGTGAGTGGTACTTGTAGTTATAATTGTAAGAGTATAAATTGTACGGTAGTACATACAGTAGTTATTTTCGTTAGACAGTGTATTAAAAAAAAACATATATATATATATATATATATATATATATATATATATATATATATATATATATATATATATATATATATATATATATATATATATATATATATATATATATATATATATATATATATATATATATATATATATATTTTTTTTTTTTTTTTTTTTTTATTGATAGAGTTTTTGAAATCCTCGAGCCGTGTACACTGTACAGTCTGAAGACACAAGTATCTCCCCATGCAGCTGTGGCCGATGAATATTCTTACCTGGTGGATTATATTGAAGGCGTCACCGTGACTACAACTGGTCAATTGGTACAGTAGTCTGACTTGAGTCTAGACACAAGCTTCGAGTTGTTCAACGAATGATGGTTCGAATAGTGGTTATTACACTAAATAGGGATGATTGCTTAATATCGATAACTTCTATGTACGTTTATTAAACTTCTGACTGGCGATAGGCGACCATGAATAGTTAAATAGAAACCCAAAGATAAATTAACCTAACTTTAACGAATATTACCTCACTCTGATTTGTTTTTCGTTTTTAATAGAGGATGATCATCATGGGTGATGTAAATGTTAACATAAGTTTGGGAGAAAACGAATAAATCTAAAGTTACTTAAAACAACAATAAAGACGAATTATACACATGAGGAAAACAAATATTGTAATAAGTGCAATAAATAACTAAATCAACCCTAAGACTAAATACACATATATTTCTGTCTTTTATATCATATAGTTACTGCAGTATACACCTATACCATATATTTAATCACCTATAGTAAATATAAGTTTTTGTGGTCAGCCTCGACCCGGGGTCAGCTGACCCCCGGACAACTGCTCTCAGAGGTTGACTAACACGTTCGTATTTTTATTATCATCTCGACTTAATTAGATATTAGAAAGTTAATCCTGAGTTTTTCAATATTCTTTTTGATAATATTTACTTATTCTAGCCTAATAGTTAACAAATAAGTGGCTTAAAGATTACGAAAATAACCAAATAAAAATGGATATCTACCTAAAAAATAATATATATATATATATATATATATATATATATATATATATATATATATATATATATATATATATATATATATATATATATATATATATTGCAATGAATGATCATCAAAAAAGGAAGTAATTGTGTGAATCAATAGTGTAACTGGCTACCCTTTCCAAGGTTCCATTGACCTTCCTCAGCGCGCGTGCCTTTCATGACTGAAAAACCGCGTAATTAAAAAATCTCCTTAATACCTGAATAAATCAATACAGATGAACAAATGAAGAGAGCCACACGGACACAACGCCAGGTTATATTGTAGTGTATGTATTGTGTAACCCGTTATAAAACATCCCTTTTATGAGTTACACACACACACACACACACACACACACGAGGACGCTGTGTTAAGATACGTATTGTTGACAGAATTAAATAACTTTACAGGAAGAATTATTATATTTAAATTGTAAGAGCTGTTGTTGTAGTGATAACCATTGTTGTCGAAGCACAGAAATAATATGAACAATACTAATTTTGTCTCCCTCAAAAGTTCTCTAATATTTGCATAAGTCTTTCAAATTCACCTTTGTTTCCGTTTAAGTATCTTTCATAATTCTTAATTGTTGATGACTAGTGTATTTACTAACCTAGAATATTCCTATAATAAAGTAATATCCAGTAAAGACCTTGGGGTTGTTAAAGCACAGTAATACATCAACACATACGTTATATGATAATTATTCTCTTATATCAGAAACAATAAATTGTCCCGTCATCCCGCCATAACCACCTCCATAAATAACGCCAGTGTTCACATTATCTCCCACCAATCACAATTCCTCTTCCGTAATGGATTCCGTTTGTTTGGGATTTTTTTGTGTTTTTTTAACGAGAAAGATATCTTTTAATTTACAAATATTGATGACTAATTCATTTACTAATCAAAACTAAGTGATTAAAGACCTTAGTTGCTGAAGCGCAATGATAAATTATAAAATCAACATCACCGTTTTTTCCCCTCCTCGTTTCAGTGAAAATTTCTCTTTTTTCTTCAACTTTTGTACTCTCAGGTAGAGATGACAGGTGAGCATTGATGAAAGTGGTCAGGTAGGAATACAGGTAATTAACTAACTAACTCACAAGTGTATGTGTGTGGTGACAGGAGCGGTGTGGGATGGTAACACCGTGGGTGGTGGCCAACATCACCTTCATGGCCCTGGAGGCTGTCTGCTGCATGTATTCCAACGTCCTCAGAGACCACATTAATAAGGTGAGGCGCCACCCGGTGGGTGTGACCATTATTCTGTTCACAAATATTGATTTTCTCTTAAAGCTGAAGTTTTAATATCTCAAAATTTAAGTATCGTGAACAAATAAGTTATTAATTCAGATTATATATCTCTGTTGTGTTCTCGTCTACCACAGCGTAAGACCCGTAACCCACAGGTTAGTGTAACCTCCACAGTCGTCACTAGTAATGGCCTCATGACTCTTCTGTACATTTCAGAAGTTCGACACAATGTGTAAAGCAGAGATGACGTTCTTCGTTACAAGACTATTTCTAAATGTAAGTTATTTATATCGTGCAACTCTGTATTAATGGATATATTATACATAAAACCTAAAATAAAGAACTTATTTATGCTCTCCTTTATTAATTTTAGATTTTATTTAATTTTGGGCCCATTAAATGCAGATCTCATATGCATAGAGTGCCTATTATTTTAATAATTCGGACTAATTTCTTAAACAAGATTCTCTGCTGACTGATTTGTGATTTAATATTTCTAAGTATATAAATTAGAAAATTAGAAAAATGGTTTTAATAAAATCGTCATTTTGTTTCCTGTACCCTGACAAAGCAAACCTATAAAGACATGTTTTTTAATATATATTTTATATGGACTTTGTGAGATATAATAATAATGATGATGATGATAATAATAATAATAATAATAATAATAATCTCCCTCACTAGAGGTTTTGTCTCTCTTACTGTTGATGTTATCTTCACCATCATCTCCCTCACTGTTGGTGTTGTCTCCCCATGATCTCCCTCATTATATATATTGTCTCCCCGTCATCTCCCTCACTATTGGTGTTGTCTCCCCCACCATCTCCCTCACTATAGGTGTTGTATCTCCCATCATCTCCCTCACTATTGGTGTTGTCTCCCCACCATCTCCCTCACTATAGGTGTTGTCTCCCCAATATCTCCCTCACTATAGGTGTTGTCTCCCCCACCATCTCCCTCACTATAGGTGTTGTATCTCCCATCATCTCCCTCACTATAGGTGTTGTCTCCCCACCATCTCCTTCACTATTGTTGGTCTCCCCCACCATCTCCCCTCACTATAGGTGTTGTCTCCCACCATCTCCTCACTATAGGTGTTGTCTCCCCCACCATCTCCCTCACTAGGTGTTGTCTCCCCACCATCTCCCCTCACTATGGTGTTGTCTCCCCACCATCTCCCTCACTATGGGTGGTCTCCCACCATCTCCCTCACTATAGGTGTTGTCTCCCCACCATCTCCCTCACTATGGGTGTTGTCTCCCCACCATCTCCTCACTTGTCGTTGGTCTCCCACCATCTCCCTCACTATAGGTGTTGTCTCCCCACCATCTCCCTCACTATAGGTTGTTGTCTCCCACCATCTCCCTCACTATGGGTGTTGTCTCCCCACCATCTCCCTCACTATGGGTGTTGTCTCCCCACCATCTCCTCACACTATAGGTGTTGTCTCCCACCATCTCCCTCACTATAGGTGTTGTCTCCCCCACCATCTCCCTCACTATGGGTGTTGTCTCCCCCACCGCTCCCTCACTATTGGTGTGTCTCCCCACCATCTCCCTCACTATAGGTGTTGTCTCCCCACCATCTCCCTCAATATTGGTGTTGTCTCACCATCTCCCTCACTATAGGTGTTGTCTCCCCACCATCTCCCTCAGCTGTGGTGTTGTCCCCACCATCTCCTCACTATAGGTGTTGTCTCCCACCATCTCCCTCTCACTATAGGTGTTGTCTCCCCCACTACATCTCCTCAATATTTGGTGTTGTCTCCCACCATCTCCCTCACTATAGGTGTTGTCTCCCCACCATCTCCCTCACTATTGGTGGTCTCCCCAACATCTCCCTCACTATTGGTGTTGTCTCCCCCATCATCTCCCTCACTATAGGTGTTGTCTCCCCCACCATCTCCCTCACTATAGGTGTTGTCTCCCCACCATCTCCCTCACTATTGGTGTTGTCTCCCCCACCATCTCCCTCACTATTGGTGTTGTCTCCCCACCATCTCCCTCACTATTGGTGTTGTCTCCCCACAGATCCTGGCACTATGGGGGGTGATGAGGTTCTACAGGAACATCAGGTCCGGCCTCACCTACAAGGACCCTGAGGCCATAGAGCTATAGGACCCTGAAATAAATTGCTATGGCTCAGTGAACCTCCGCTACCACTCTCGTCTTAATTAAGGAATCATTATCAGGTGTACAAGGAATGATACTGGTTTTGGAACTGTGTGTGTGTGTGGGGCGCCAACTTTACACCCATGAATGTCACCTTAATACCTGATGATCAATCGTCACGCACCCCCACACCCCACCCTACCCCACCAGATACAAAAACCTACAGAAGCATATTGGAGAGCGCCTTGCCTGACCATTATCCGAGGTCCACCATGGCACCACTCTAAGAAGCTACCCACAGCGCCATCTGGACCGCATCCAAGTGCAGTGAACTACCAGAACTTGATAATGTACACTCTCCCAAAAAAGTATCGGCTCCCCTGGGCCTGATGTATTTGGAAATAAACACAATAACACGTGCACAGCAGTCTCGGTTCGGCTGGTATTTCTGATTGTGAGTTGCACCTCTCGTTCTTTCTTCTTGCACCTGATAATCACCATGATATCTGCAGTTTACAACCTATTCTCTTCATAATGTAATGAAATAGGATGAATTGTGATACCATATGCAAAACCAATAACACCTTAGACACTATTTCAGCCCCACGGGATGTGCTGCCAAACAGGAATATAACGTTACTATATTTTCATGAATCGGGGTTACAATGGAATCGCTTCGAACGAAATATTAAACACTATGATCCGATATTATATTTATTTGCAAATATAATAATTACAAGTGTATTATGATGCCATATCCAATTACAATGACACTATGATTTACTGCATTTCGATATCTAAGCTACCTCAATTTATGAGGTAACAATTATGAATATAACGTATCGTCTCATGATTCGTGCTGGCAACGAAACATTATCTGATACACACTACGAGATGATGTCTGTCGGTGCAAGCTGTGTAATCCAACGAGTCTCGGGTACTGGTGTTGGTCATGGATTTCCAGTAGAAAACACCCACTATTTGACTGTCGTCGATATATTTTCGCTACATTAATATCATTATATTATTCTACTATTGATGGAGCACGGTGAGTCACCATATTACAACAAATGCCAGAAATAATGACTGGCAACCTCACAGATACAAGGAAGGAAGGTCCGAGGGTTAGTGTACTGTATAGTCCTCGGGCAGGCCTATCAACACAATGCAGGAATCACACTTAACGATCAGAAATATTCGTCTATTGTGACACATTGTATCAACGAGAAAAGGGGGCCGATATTATTTTGAGGAGAGTGAACACTATTACTGAAAATGTTAATCCCCCTAAGATTAGTCACCTCAGTTTATAGTTTCACCACCTACCTCACGCTACCTAGGGGGGGGGGTTAAGTTAGGACCTAACTGTTAGGTTATGTTAAATTTGGTTAGGATAGATTAAGTAAGGTTAAATTACGTTAGGTTGAGTTAGGTTTGGATTAGGTAAGCGTTAGGGTGGTTAACGTTCAGGTGAAATAAGCTGGGGTGTCTAATCTTCAGGTAATCCAAAAAACGTTGAGTCAGAAGGATACTTAACCCAAAAGTAGTCATGATACATTAGTGCCATAGATCTTGGTTGAGTGTCATTTATGTAACAGACAGATAACATAGTAACATCCGTCGTGTTGTAGATATAACTGAAGGTGTATAGAAAATAATGTCCGTATGTAGATCTTTATAAATAAATTTTCAAAATGTTATTTATTTTTATTCAAATAGAGAATATTAAGATTAATATATGACCTGTGTGTAATATATATCTTTTTCATATATGACTATTTTAAATTTCCAGATATTACGTATATATTGTCGTTCAAGCTCTGAGATCTGCGAATATTTTTATATTATTATTATTATTATTATTATTATTATTATTATTATTATTAGCAGTTATAGTACTGGTATATATCGCCCCATAATATGGCAGTTCTAGAGGTAACACTGCTGATATAGCTACAGTGTTCAGGAGTTACTGTATATTAACACTGAATACCCAACACATATGACACCGTGAGTCATGACAGCTGTGTTTGAAAAGGTGAGAACAGCTTCAGACATAATATGCATCTGGCTGCCTCCTGATGGCTAGACATACATTTACTCATCACTAAAGCCCCAAAATTTCGATTGCATAAATATATTCCTTTTGAGAAGTGATAGTTTGTACACTAATATGACTATTATAAAATAAGAGTAAAGTGACTTACTCAGTTTCAGGTTCACAGATGGTGTTGAAAATGACCCCCATCCTGATCGACGTAGACGTGGGTTAACTGACAATAAAACGAAATATTAATTCATGATAAAGTTTGATTACATCCAGGTGGTTCATGTTTATACACCTGATGATCACGCGACTAATTACCAAACTGTGATCAAGTTCATCAGTAGATCATCAGTGTCGACTTTCAGTTCCCCAAGACGATGTTTTTAGGAAAGTTCCCCAGGACGACGTGTTTAACTTTAAGACATCAAACGCCGCCTGCTTCATATGCAACGGGGGAAGGGGGAGACTCGGAAGAGGAGGGAAGGAGGGTGACTCGGAGGAGGGGGGAAGAAGGAGAAGAGGTGACTCTGGGAGGGAAGAAGGGGGTGACTCCGGGGAAAAGCAGGGGGTTATTCAAGGGGGCGGAGAGGATAGCGATAATTCGTGGGGGAAAGAGGGGAGGTAACTCGGGGGAGGAGGGGGTGACTCTAGGAGGGAAGCAGGAGGGTGACTGTGAGAAGGAAGTGATGACTCTGGGAGGGTAGTAGGAGGGTGACTATGGGAGGTAGTAGGTGTGACTTTGGGAGGGAGGAGAAGGGTGACTCTTAGGGGGAGGAGGAGAGTGACTCGGGGGGAGGGTATCTCACTACATCAAGACAGCTTCATCCCTTCAAAATAAGAATTCATCATTATGTGTAATAAGGTGTCACATTTGTTATTTCGGATCCCTTGAAGATTAGCCCCAGTTTATTTCAGCATATTAATCACCCTAATGTTAACCTAACCTAACCTAAACTAACCTAATACTCCCGAATAACGTTAAAGCGTTTAATCATCAGGTGAAATAAGCCGGGGGAGGGGAATGTTTAGGTTACCTGTTATTTCTATATCTCTCTGTGTTTCAAATATAACTAAGGTATTTAATTAAGCACGTACGTTTACAATGATCCATGAACTAAACAACAACAACTATTAATATTACGGAGACAAATTAATCCTTGACAGTTCTTGATAACAAAAGGCAAGGAGAGAATAACAAGAGCCTGGGAGGTGGTGTCATTACCAGCGGGCACGATTTAAACAAAGTTGCCTCCGTCAGTGTAGCGAAAAATGTGTCTCCAGCTGCACAATAGCGAACAGCTGAAGCAGAAAATGTTTTGTTTTTATTCATTTACACGTATAAATCTAACCACTTGAATATGGTAACTTAACTCTTTTGGTATCCGCAAGTTAACACCTTTAGCACTGTAACTTAACCCTTTAAGCGAGGTAACTTAATCCGATAACCCCTTAAGAAGAGTGACTTAAAGATTAAAGTTTAAACCATCATTCTCGACGAGTTAATTCAAACTGTGTATTGTCCTACATACAATGGAGGCGGAACAACGGTGTTTAGGGACAAACTACCGATTTTTAAGCTGTACTCCTGGGACGCTTTCCAGTTCAGTGCGACGTGTGGAAATTTTAACCCATGCGTCTCGGACGCTCCAGAATTTCTGACTACCGAAATAGCTTCTAGTATTATGTGGCTCCGCAACTCAGTCGGCACAGCTTTCATTCCGCGAAGGAATAGTTACTGGTTTGACTTCCGACACTATACCCTGTGCACTTATTGACGGCTCTCCTGAGGAAGAGTAAGTCACTAGCTGTTAGTGTTAAGATCAAGAGAGCACCACCTGCCCAGCCACACTTTACCACAACAAGAGGCTTGTTTTAAGGAAATTATGGTTCACCTGAATATTATACACCCTAACTTATCTGACCCAAAGATAAACCACCCTCACGCTACCTGGGTAGGCTAAGTTAGGTTAGAAATAGGGTGGTTAATCTTCAGGTGAAAGAAGCACGGGTGATCCGAAATAATATACTGTACAATACAACGCTTCTTGCCTCATTCAAATAATGTTGTTGAAAATATTGGTGTTACAATGTACATAAAGTCATCGTCCATCACATGAGTAGCGTGCAGTACACATGTCAGCCGCCACACACCGCGGTAATGAGTCACACGGCCTGATAACAGCATCGTCAAAGGTATGGAGTTAAACATCAGCTATTTTTGTTCCGCTTCACACAGCGAGGCGCGCAATATTTTGGTCTGAACTTCAAATGACCAACAACATTCGAAATGATTGTTCAAATGTTGTAACACAGGAACATTTACCAATAGGTGACGCTCTCCTGCACATCGGCAATTAGTTCTGTTAAACTGACAAACATTTATTGAATAAATAAACTTTGTCGATCAACTTTTGTTTGGTTTAATGTTCAATATCACGCCGAATTTTATTTGTGGAGTAAGTCTGTTTGTCAATTATAATTCTTCTGTATCTTACAACTTTAAGTCTTTTGTTTTTACATGCCATACATTTACAGACCACACTTTACTGACCAAACTTTTCGATAAAAAAAGTAGGCAAATGCCTTTTTTATGAATATTATATCCTAAAATAAACAAATAGAAACTGTAGGTAAAGAATAGAGGAAATATAATGTACGTACATACATTATTTGGATTTGTTCTTTTACCATAAGGATTTTTTCTGAAACTGAACCCTAAAAAAGGAAGCATCTGAACCTAAAAAAGTCAATGGAGAATAAAAGCAGATCCGTGAATAGACTTTGCATACACAATCATACCAGACACTATGACTGACACCTAGTGTAGAACCCAGAATATATAGGCTTAAATGGGCTTCAATATAGTAAAATGGGTTATAATGTGTTAAATGGGTTCTAGTAAATGTGCACAAATTCTAGTAGTTCTAGCATTGATCCAGAGGTATTCAGAGCTGGAGTGTGTGTGCAGTTCTCAATGAGTCTCGCCAGCCGCTCTTAGACTTTATTTAGTCAACCATCGTCGTCAGACCCGTCACCAGCGTTACAAAAATTTAATTCCCTTAAGTCATTAACCTCCTACATAGATTCTCATAGTGTCCTACCTGATAATTTTACCTCGGTGTTACACAAGCGGCATCATTTAATCTCTTCCTTTCGTTGAAGTTTAGATCTACATGACACCGTAAGTGAAAATAAAAGCAAGTTTCTTTGACACTATGACCCTGGGGTGGGATTCACAAAGGTTCATAATATGTTGGATGTCCCTCGTAACTGAAGATGGATAACCTGACTGGTACATTTTAGATAAAATACAAAAATAGTGTCCAAATGTTATTTTACTGAGACTCTTACCTTAACTAGTACAGTACAGTACAGTACCTTCACTAACAACAGTTGGTAGACAAAATTAAGCTACATAATCTTTTGCAATAGATTTTCTACCTCAAATTTATCTCTATAATTTAAGTGAATGTGTCTACTTAGGCTATAATCTCTGTATAAATTTGTTGTTACTTTTTAAAAGTTATAAATTAGTTTAGTTTAAGTTAAACCGTCAATACACCCCTCAGCTTGTTACAAGGAATATTCGTCGTACCAGCCTTTGAGTCCTCGCCCTGGTTACACTCCCAGTTGTGCCACAGGTCTAAGAGGGCAAATCCCGAGAGACAATTTGGCTGTGGAAGTAATTCAGTTTGAGCGAATGAAAATCTAATTTCACGCGACACTTGATTAATAGTGTACAGGTGGAGTGCAAGATGATGTGAATTTACTTTTTGTTTCATGTGACTGAATGGGATATAATAATGAACTATTTACTTAGACGGGAAAGGAAGAACTTTTCTCCATCATTTTAATTGTTGTTGTGTAGTATATGGACCTACTTAGAGTACGTGTTTAAAGACCCTTGTTGTGGTGCTGTGTAGTGCATGTACCTAATTAGAGAACGTGTTTAAAGACCCTTGTTGTGGTGCTGTGTAGTGCATGTACCTAATTAGAGAACGTGTTTAAAGACCCTTGTTGTGGTGCTGTGTAGTGCATGTACCTAATTAGAGAACGTGTTTAAAGACCCTTGTTGTGGTGCTGTGTAGTGCATGTACCTAATTAGAGAACGTGTTTAAAGACCCTTGTTGTGGTGCTGTGTAGTGCATGTACCTAATTAGAGAACGTGTTTAAAGACCCTTGTTGTGGTGCTGTGTAGTGCATGTACCTAATTAGAGAACGTGTTTAAAGACCCTTGTTGTGGTGCTGTGTAGTGCATGTACCTAATTAGAGAAAGTGTTTAAAGACCCTTGTTGTGGTGCTGTGTAGTGCATGTACCTAATCAGAGAACGTGTTTAAAGACCCTTGTTGTGGTGTTGTGTAGTGCATGTACCTAATTAGAGAACGTGTTTAAAGACCCTTGTTGTGGTGCTGTGTAGTGCATGTACCTAATTAGAGAACGTGTTTAAAGACTTTGGTAAGTTGAAGCACAGAAATATATAAGCAACAACACAGGCGATCGGACACGAATTAAGTGACCCAGAGAGAAAAGAGAATAGAGGAATTTCGAAAAAATACAATTGCCTCAAATTCCGTTCGTTTTCGCGGTCTGTTTGCATTTGTTTCCAACTGCTCTAGGTCGTGTTGTTCACAAAATGGATTTAGGAAGTGC